GTAGCGTGCGACCAGAGGGTCTCGCCCCCCTGGACCTGACTCTCTAACAGACGGCGAGCGCGAAGAAGCCAGACGGAAAAGTCAAGTGGTCTACCGTCAGCGTCGAAACGAAGAACTCGCGGAGTCGCCATAGTGAGAACTAACGCGAACGAACAGGCGAGTAACAACCGGGGAGAAGAGGCAAATTAGGGTTCAGGTGGGAAGGGGACTCAGTCGCAGCGGAAGAGCGGGCTAGGGCGACGGGCCAGGGCGTAGGGTAGGGCGACGGGCTAGGACGTAGGGTAGGGCGACGGGCCAGGGCGTAGGGTAGGGCGACGGGCCAGGGCGTAGGGACGGGACAGGGCGACGCGACGGGGCAGGGCGGCGCGATGGGGCAGGGTGACGGGACGGGGCAGGGCGACGCGACGGGGCAGGGCAACGCGACGGGGCAGGGTGACGGGACGGGGCAGGGTGACGGGACGGGGCAGGGCGACGCGACGGGGCAGGGCAACGCGACGGGGCAGGGTGACGGGACGGGGCAGGGCGACGCGACGGGGCAGGGCGACGGGACGGGGCAGGGCGACGCGACGGGACAGGGCGACGGGACGGGGGGGAAAGGGCGGGCACGACGTGACGGGGGGAACGGGCGCGACGCGACGGGGGGAAAGAGCGCTAGGCGACGGGGGGGAAAGGGCGCGACGCAACGGGGGGGGGGGGGGGAAAGGGCGGTAGGCGACGGGGAGAAAGGGCGCTAAGCGACGGGGGAGAGGGCGCTAGGCTCAGTACTAGGCGCGGTAACAACGGAACCGGTACGAACGAGAGGTAGGATCAGGCTCGGGAGGGACGAACGGAGAACGGAGGAACGGGATCCCACAGGATCCTAACCTAGCTGATACCATGTCAAAATGAGGAATGATGATGCCATTGATGTTGGTTGGGGTACATATAACAAACCCTAACTTCTGTACCCCCTAAGACAAACCTCACTACAGGCTACAACATTTAAGACACACCTACCACAATGAAGGCGATGCATGCATAGTTACCGGTATCATAAGTAGGCCTCCAAATAGTACCCATTACACCATGTGACACACACTGCTCGCCCAGTGAAAAATAAGCTTCCCATCTCACAAAAGCCATCCCTTAAAGAGTTCATCCTCACCTCACCAATCCGTACATTATTTGTGTCGTACCCATCCACCTCAAATACCAGTACCACTAAGTTCACCATTAAATATTGTCCATGCCCCTCGCCCCCCCGGCCCTCCTCTCACTCTAGCTCTCTCTCCAATACCCTGCCTTTCAAGCAAATAGGTACCACAGCTCAAGTCCACTCCTCTGCACCAGACCACACCCTCTCCCGTTGGCTGAAGCTCGGCTCTTTCCTTACACAACTCTACATAATCGTCCCCTCCCCCCACCATGCTCCACGTCTCCACCTCCCTCCTCCATCCCTTGCTCCCTGCCTCACCTGCCTTCCTTTCCATTCGCCTGCTGCACCTCCTTTTGCCCTGCTCCTCCATCCTTGCTCTCTGGTGATTTCAGCCCCCTCTGCCCCATTCTGCCCCCTGTCCCCTCTGTCCCCTCTGTCCCCTCTGTCCCTTTTCCCCATTCACTGCGTGTCATCCACTTCTGATCCTGAAGGAGCCATCCCTTCCCCTCTCACCACCCCATTTTCATTCATCACCCCTGCTCCTGCTCCCCGTCCGCTGCCACTACTCCCTGCGCCTCTCCCCCCTCTGCTTTGAGGTCTCGAGAGGGGTGCGCTGCTCGGACCGCATCCGAGAATAGCAGTTAAAGCCCACTGCTGCGAGCTCTTTCTATGCAGCTCCTGAATAACTGCGGCGCGGCCCTTATTCACGTCCTGCTTGCCCTGCTTCCGCGACATGCGGACGTACACCAGCGCCGCGAGACCCGCCGCCGTCAGCAGCGCCACCAGCCCCGCCACCACCCCCACCGCGATCTTCCACGCGGGGACTGACGAGTTCGGGGGAGGCGGCGGAGGCGGCGCCGGCGGGGATGGCGGGGGCGGGGGGACGTACGGCGGGGGCGGTGGGCTCGGGGGAGCGAGAACCGGAGGGGACGGGGCGGCAATATTTGTGCTGGTCCAGCAAAGCGCGAGGTAGTTATTCGTAACGACGCCCACCGCGCACGGCACGTACAGCGTCACGGGCTTGCTAGATTCCGTGCCTACCATCTGTTCGTATTGAGTCACCTGACCGTTGGGAGTGATATTCGCGCATTGATAGTTCCCCCCCGTGGTTAAATCTTCTACCATGGGCATGGAAAAATACACCACGATAGGATTCTTCGCGGAAGTTGCGGCCAGCATCAGCGGCGGCTGCAGGACGGAAGGCAACCCCCCGCCTTGAGAGCCTCCGCCTCCGCCCACGCCGCCGCCAGTTCCGCCAGGACCTCCAGGGCCTACTTGAGCGGCGCCCGCTCCTGCGCCCTTGCTTCCGCTCCCGCTTCCGCCTCCGCCTCCGCCTCCGCTTGCCGCGATGGTCGTGGTCGTGAGCACAGATGCGGAGTAAGTCAGCAGCGCCACTTGCGGCGACACGAAGCTCATCGGCTTAAGGTAAGCCTTCGCGGTGCCGGAAGAAGACGACGAGCCGGGAACTCCGGAGGAGGTCGAGGAGTTGCTGAACGGCCACGTGGACGAAGCCGGCGTGGGAATGGCCGCGTCTGGCGCGGATATTTTAATATACATCAGCACTACAGTGTCGATTCGGCCCGCGCGGCCCGCAGGGACCTGGCTAGTAACGGTCACGGTCGGAAGGCTGAACTCGAACCACTCGAGCAACTCCAATTGCGCTACGGCGAGCGGCCATACCTCCACGCGGACCTCGACCCCTTCCGCAACGAGTCCGCTAACAGCGGCGCTAACATCGGCGGGTTTCACGGAGCCGTTCTTGCCCTGCTGTGACGGGTCGGCGAGGATGGCAGCGGCGGTTTTAAAGGCGAGTGGCTGCACCGCGCGCACGACCTGCTCGAACGGCGTGCGCGGGGGAACGTGCGGCGGAAGCGGAACGACGGCGCGCTGGAGACTCCGGACGGGGATGGAGGAGTGCGAGTGACGCGCGGAAGGCGGGAATGACGGGCGGAGGGAGCGGACGCGGAAGGCGTTTGCGGAGGCGGGAGCGGGGGTAGGGGGGGCAGCGGCGTCAGCGGTAGCGATGAAAGGAATGGCGCTGAGCACAGTGTGTCTTTGGCAAGTGAGGGATGAATGGAAAGAGCAGAGGACAAGAGCGGCGCAGATGATAAGATCGAGACGGTTGGTAACGGAACGCGAGAAACGTCTGCAAGGGGAATGGCACTTGAGAGCATGGCCGCGTCGGCTCGGTTCTCGAAGCGCGCGCGCCATCTGCGCGCGCTCGCCAGCGAAGCGCGGAAATTAAGTACAGAACCAGATGCTATGCTTGCTCAGTTCTATCCGTCCCAGCACAACTCTCCCCCGTCGCCAACCTAATTAGCGGGAAAAAGAGGCAGAGTTGATGGCTGCCGCACTGACACTGCTCTCCCCCAACTACCCACCCACACCACACCACACCACCCACAAGATACGAGGACTGAGGCTAGCCTCAGAAGCAAACTGCTTCCCTAGCGAAGTGCAATTTTTGGACTGGGCTGCGAGCATTCATGCCGTACTGCCATAGAAGAAGTACTTCGCTCTGAGAAAGGTTCACAAAACATGTCGCAAAAGAACGAGTTTTGGTGGAGTGGAGAGGATTGCGAAGGAAAAAGGTTGCTGCTTTATTAAGGTGCAGTGTAGAGTTTTGACACTTACAGTATTCCGGTGTGGTAACAGAGCAAAGCAACGGTCATCCCAAAAGGTGCTCTGAACAAATTTGGTTGGCTGGGACTTGCATGTGGGTGTGGGCGACCAGCCTTTGTCACTTGCCCTGAACCGTCGTACACGCGGGTACAGTGCTTTACCGCACTTCACATGGTACAGTTGTTTTGTCTCTGGTTGGGGGAAATGTTCAGATTGCGGCCCCAAAGTTCTAGGAATGTAGCCGACTTGGGGCCTCGTGTTTCGCAATGTGTTGAGCCTGGTCCGGACCTGTCTCTAACCAATTTCGGGCCTCACCCACGCGCTCCGTCAGACCTGACCACACAAGGTGACGGATTTCTCAACGGACAGCTTGCAAAAACAATAAATCCCATACGGGCATGCATCCGGTCAGGGAGGCATCAACCCTAAACACTTTGTCGCATGTGTTTAGGGTTGATGCCTCCCCAATTTTATGCCATCCGAGTGGGTTATATTATTTTACCAATGCGATAATAGTTTCGTGCTAAGAGGTATATTTCTGGGTTATTTCGCCGAGGTATCTGTACTGCCCATTGTGAATGGGCTGACGGTCGCTGCTCCCATGAACCAGGATGCTAGCGAAATCCGTCTAACCCAAGCCAGCAGGTGGTGACCTGGCGAGCTCGGCCTAGCTGCCTAGGCTTGTGGGTTGCTTCGGGCCTTCTTCGTAGAGGTCGCGAATCACAAGGCCCCAAGTCGGCCATTTTCCTGCTAATCCGAGGTCCCAATCTGATTATTCTCTGATTTGTTCTGTTTGAATCGAACGTGGGCTGCCGTTGAACTATGTGAGGAGGGGTCACCGCAACGTCAAACCAGGCGATTTCTGAAACAGGGGTGGAATCAACAGGTTGCGAAACTGGTTCGATATTGGAGGCGCAAGAAATTCGCAGAAAATGAAGGGTGCGTAGAGCTGTACATGAGGCATTCAAGCCTAGGACGTCTGAAAGAAGGAAGAGGGATAATGGTGACTAGAAGCCTACCACTGCAGCCAACCACCAGTATCCTAATTGAAAGTTTTGGCTGGTTTTGAGCTACACTGGTTTATCTGATTATTTGGTGTTTTTCCAGACTGTAAAAGAAAATAATGATTACTGCATTTTACTGACAGCAATTAGCCCCAATCTGAGATCCCAGCTGTAGCATGGGCAATGCAAGAACCCTGTACCCGCTGTCACCTTCCCACTCTTTCTCCAAAAATTCTTCCCTATCTCCCTTCTCTGATATCTCCACCGACGCCCTCACCTAACGAGCTCTCCCTTGTGAAAACTTCACTCGAAATCCCTTGCATCATATTTCCATCAACCAGCTTGCCGCTCTCCGCACTCCCCACATCCCCTAGCTCCTTACTATCCTTCTCCGCACCAGTATCCCCTTCACTCCGCTTGCTCGTCAACTCCCCCTTGCTCCCCTTACTCCGCAAACTCCCCCCCACTCCACTCCCCTTTCCGCCAAACCACCAGCGGTTCTTATTTGCAGAGTGCATTGCAGCAAACACAGCCGCACGGCCCCTGTCCAGGTTCCTATCCCCCTGCTCCCTCTGCTGCCGCCGCACCAGCCAGACGTATAGCACGCCCGCAATAGCCGCCAACAGTAGCACCCCGAGCGCCACGCCCACGCCTATAAACACCCCAACATTGCTCCCCCCCGCGGGAGGCGGAGGAGGTGGGGGAATAGGCTCTGTGACTGGTGATTGGGGAGGGGGAGGGGGAGAGGGGGGCGGGCTGGGGGGCGGAGGAGGTGGGGAAGGGGATGGTGGCGGGGGAGGCATAGGGGGAACGGTGGAGGGGACGACGAGGTTCACGAACAGATCCGTAAGCACGTCTTCCTCGCACTTTCGCTGCAGAGTTTTACTGCCGTCACTCTCGGGCACGCGTTCGGTGTCTGAAGGGAATACGCGAAAAGCGCCGCTAAGTGCGACCGAGAAGCACTCATAAGGAAGCTCAAGGCTCGTCAGAGGCGTCAAGTAGATGAACTTCTCAGCAACTCCGGCGAAAGCGATGGGTGCTATCAGCGGCGGCGGCGGCGACGACGACGGCGGAGTTCCGGTCCCTCTATACGGCTGCATTACAGCACCAGGGTAACCCTGAAGGCAAATAACCGACGGGAAGAAGCTCGCCGTGAAGGAATGCACAGGCGGGTTCCGCGCAGCAAACGGCCAATTCGCAGACGGTGCAAGCGGCGATGACGACGGGTTTGTGTCCTGCATCGTGATCTTGACATACACGAAAACTAGCTCGGTTAGGTCGGATGTGTAGGCCGGGTCGATTGGCGAGATAGTATTTGGCACGTCAATGTCGTCCTTTTTGTAGCCCAGCATTAAGGAGAGGTTAGCTTTGTATAACGGCCACGCGTCTAGCTGCAACTTGAAGCCCGGTACGAGAAGCTTGCTGAGCGCTGATTGCGCTGATGGAGGGAAAGCCGGATAGGGTATCGTGACGGGATGATCTTGGCCCATTTTTGTTGCTGCGGCTTTCGCGAAGGCTACTGGCTGCAAGATTTCCATCAACTGCGCGTACGCGGAAGCGGAAGAAGCGGATGGAGCGGGGAGGGATGAGGCGCGGGAGTATGCGCTGAGAGGCGGGGGCGGCGGAGGGGCACCGGCGAGGAAATGCGCGCGGGACGATTTGTGGAGGGGAAGCCGCAATTGGAGCGTGGAACGGGAGAGGGTCGCGCGGGGCGGGAGATGCGCGGAGCAAAGTGTGACGAGGAAGAGGGTTGCGGCGAGCTGAATGTAGACAGAGGAATACAACGTGCGGCTCGAAGAAGAATAGCGACAACGATGGCGACGTTGAGGAGACGGATGAGGCGGCGGTGGCGAGTGTCGCATGTATGGATGCTGTGGCAGGGACTCCATGGCCGAAGTGTAACGCGGTTGTTACACGAAGAGTGGAGGAAAGAATGAGAATGATGAGCGGAGAAGTGCTACTAGTTGCGTTCCAAGGGCTATCGGCTTATGATCGACGAGTGCGGTTCCCGTGAGCCATGTGGGAGAGCAGTTCCCTCCTTCCCCATTCCCTCCCCTCAAAGCTTGGTGGACAAGACGAACTGTACACACAGACAAGGTCGTATCCAGACAGCACACCTTTGCGAGATGGTTGAACAGGTTTCCCTTGAATGTAAGGGTAATCTACCTATTTGAGAAATAGAAAACAAATGCCCACTTTCAATCCAGTCCATTTCATGGTCGGAAATTTAACACTATCGGATCTGAGACTGGTGTTTGAGGACGGATACTATCTTTCAAACTCAGATCCATGGCTAACAATTCTGTTCCACATTTCTTCACCCGAGTAGGAACTGAACTTTCCTTGAGAAATCCCCCGCCACCAACCTCATTAATTCGTAATATCTTGTAGTACTAGACTAGAGCGAACAAAAGCGTGAAGCGATCTGCCCAAAATCTTCGATTCCAGCTCTCATCAGTTGAGAACCTATCTCCACTGCCCCTTTGGGCCTTGTGGCGCGAAAACTTCAGTAAATGAAATAACGGTGTGGCAGAAAAGCAGTGAAATGTGAAGTGCTATTTCTTGCTGTTGCTAAAGCTTTCCGCGAATTCCCGTGAACTGAAGGCGTGTACAAAGTGCTGCACAAACTCGACGTCGAGGGCGTCGGTGAATCCTGACGGTTGGAACCTTTTATCCGAGGGTGGAAATTCACCGACGTTGCTCGACGTCAAGTTTTTGCGCACTTAGCACACGCCATAACCCCACCAGGGGGACGCGACATATCAGAACCGTTAATTTTGATTGGTCAACAAATTTAACGCGGACGATGTAAATACGTTACTACTGGTCGATCCACTAAGAAGCAGAAAGGGTTCCAGTGTATTCCAAGCTTACCGTATGTTATAATTTCAACACTGATATTAATTCTGTACGCACATATTACAAACAGAACCAACACCATCGGGTATGACACAGGAATCAAAAGTGCAGCTATTGATTATATACAATTTCAGCGTGCTAGCTTGTTGAAGCTTAAGCCCGTGAAGTGGCACAAGGCGTGAAGAGTTTGACAATCTTCAAGAAGAAGCATTTGTCCTCTGCTCATCTGTTGTAGCAGATCCTCCCTCCACAGTCGTGTCTTCAGAACTTGGGTTGTATGCCCTTCGCTTTGAGAGCCCAGAAACGACATCAGGTGCTGGCTTAGATCCAGAGCTGGTACGCCCTTCCGTGGGCAAATCTGCCTTCTCACGCAGCCTTGTCTCAAGGTCATCGCCCAATGCGGGCGAGCATCCCTTGCGTGCTTGCTTGTTCCCCTGCCATGCAAATTATCATCAATGCAAACCACCTGTGAGAAGTACGGTACCATCAAATAATGTAGCACTGTTTAAAATCTGGAGGCCAGCAACCAACCCACCTCAACAAGAAGAGCGACAAAAGCAGGTAACCCATTGTCATTCACAAACTCAGCCATTGCCTGGCGTGTAGGCGCATCCAAAGACTCAACCACCCGTTTCTCCTCTGGTCCCCAATCCCTCATCCCCCCTCCGTTTCCAGCCCCTTCAGCCGAAACCCCTTCAGAAACCACTGCAGCAGTCCTCCCCTCCAGAGAATCCTCCCCTTCCCGCTCACGCTTCCCCTTGAGCCTGCGCACGCGTGCGCGACCAAGGGCCTTGACGTGGAACGGGTGGACGAACGTATCATAGATGAGCGCAGCGCCATGGTATTTGGGTAACACCAGCCACGCGAACCCAGCTAGCTTCGCTAGTGAATAGAGAGGGATTCTGCCCACAGCGAATGAATGAAGAGCAAATGTTGATCATAACAATATTGAATACGAAAAGACGGATTTGAAGCCAGCCTTAGGAACTCTCTTACCGAGACAATATGGGTGCAAGGAAATGCTCGAGGGTGGAAACGATGGAAAAGAGGACCCAGTAGGTGAGCCACTGGCGCACCGCGGATGGCTCGGCGTACTCAATGGTCCGAACGAACTCCAGGCTGCGTGCAGATAAATGCCTTTTATTTAAATTCCATACTTTCGGAATCCCTAAAAAAATCAGGACAACTGGCAGGGAACTTACAGAGGATAACAGAGCATAAGGACGGGCCTGCATGAGAGAGTTGAAGGAATAAAGGTAAGTAAACCTTCCATCGAATGAGCTTCTGCACGTCACATCCTTTGCGACGACACTCACCCAGCCAGCCTCAGCATGGAAGTGAACAAGAAGAAAGGGTTGGAGAAGGAATAGCTTTTCCTAGTAGTAGCTCCAAATATCCCACCAGTTCTTGATCCGATCCCCAAGCCGCGGGTAAAATTACTGACTATCGCCATAACGAATGCAGACGACTAACACCACTGCGTGTTCTTTTCTGAGATCGGATCGGATTGACCAGAAAAAACTGCAGCAGGCTATGCAAGAGAAGCTGGAATCTTCCAGGCGAACAACTGGGTGAAAGAGTAGACGATTTTGCTCATGTACTGCGAGAGGTCAGGCCTGTTTTGTCGAGGGAAGTGATAAATAGGAGAGCGACATTTTCCAGCTGAGAGGGACAAGAGCTGAGGGGAGAGCATGTAGCGCCCACGTACGCAGGAGAAATGGGAGAGAACCTTGTGGGCCAAGTTCTGAAATTGGTTGTGAGCTGACTTGAAATTTATTATCCGAATCGCCTTGACAAACATGCACAACCAATGTGGGAATTGAGTGGGTGCCACGTGGAAGAAAATGGGGCTGTTCTGTCGTGGCAGATTATGTGTGCTTCATGAGGCATCGTTTAGAGTAGAGACCCTTCATACCAATATTCACACGTAACTACGTGCGCTCTATACGATATGCATTCAATATTACACCATTTTACACAATCGTTTAACACATGATCAAGACAGGACGGGGTTGTATTTAGCATAGGCACTGTATAATCCGCGATTCTTGAACCAGTAGGTACAGCGTATTCATCATAAAACACCATGCACAAAGCATTCAAGTTACAACCCTACAGACGTGCAGCTTGGCGTGTGATAAACGGACGGAGGAACTCCTCGTAGCCATCGATAACATCCGGAATGTTCATAGGATCCGCAGTGGCCCGGCTGACAAGATCCGTGTAAACGTCCCCGTTGAAGCGGCCCAGGGAGGAGTTGAGGAAATGATCCGAAAACTGAAAGGCGTCCACCAATGGCACTGCAATCCGCCGCACCTGAAAAGTAAGAGCAGGATAGACAATGCCCGTTTTGGCATCAAACCCAACTGCTGTTTGACACACTCACACCCCCCCAACTACCTTAACCCCCCATCCCCCGCGCTCTTCTCCGCATTTTCACTGTCTCCTGGTTCTTTGCTTACCCAACCCACCCCCCCTCCTCCACCTTGAGCACCTTTTCCACCACAAGGCCCACATACTCCCCTGTCGTTCCAACAGATGGGTGCAATACAGTGCAGGTGGGTGGCAAGGCAAGGCAAGGGCGCACCTGGGGCAGCAGGGCGAGCAGCTGCTGTCGCACGAGGGCAGGGTGGTCCGGGCTAAAGTACTCCCCTGCCACAAGGTCACCGGCAGAGGCGTCTACAAGGTGCAGGCAGTAGAGGTCGCACAGCAGCTGCAAGGCGCCCAGCACCCCCTGGCTCGTCCGCCCTGCATCTCTCAGCTCCTGCACTCGCTCCACAAACCTGGTGTGGTGGGATGTTGAGGGGTGATTGAAGCCAGATGTGGAGGATAGGAAAGAAAGAAAGAATTAGACATCTTGCATTCATCTAATAGGTCTGCTGTTATCCCTTGGATCCCACACACACTCCAGGAACCCAGTGGGGAGGGTGGTGAGGCGAGGAGGTGGTGTTAAGAGCAGTCATGATGATGTGAGGAACAGTGGCGACAGAAGGGTAGGAATCTGTAGAATGGTGATGATCGAAGAGTCAAAAGCTAAGCGGCAAAAGAAGAAGAAAAAAATCTGAGATGGAATTGTACTTGGCAGCAGATATGAGGCGGCAGTGGGCAGTGGAGGCTGATGTGAGCGCCACACTGTTGTCGAGGAAGCCTGAAAAGCGTACAGAGGTATGACCTTGACTAAAAACACACAACAGATATTCGTCAGGCCGGAGCAGGAAGCAGGGCATTGCGACAAGGAGCAGGGAGGTCGAGGAAGCGATAGGGAATAGGGAGGCTCGGGGCATAGCAGCACCTTCATGCAACCAAGTGTTCCTACAGCCGTCCAAAAGGCACACTAAAAGAGAAGAACATGCAGGACACAGACGTTCAGAGATAAAGCAGAGGCTGCAGCAGTGAGGCTGCGAAATGCTAACCCATTCCACCCTCTCTCGTTGTTCCAGCCATCAACTCCCTCCCCCCCCCCCCCCTTCCCCTCCCCCCTTCCACCATGCAGCAGCATCCTGAACTAACAGGTCTCCCACCTTTTTCAAGGGAAGGAGCGGCAGCAACAGCGGTGGCGGCAGCGACAGCCTTATGGAATGCACACGCCTGCAGCGCTGCCAACTGTGTGGACGTCTGAAGGAAGTCCGAGGCTGTGCGAGGCGAGGGGGGTGGAGAGGGGCAAGGAGAGGGCGAGAGAGTGAGAGAGAGGACGGAGGAGAAGTGGGACATTTGGGAAGGGATGAACGGGGAAGAATGTACATGTATGGGCATGAACGGCATCGTCCAGAACTGAGCTGCAGAGCAATCAAACGCCTCACAACAACATTTCCCCTCACTCAACCCTTCACCTCCTTGCGTGCACCCACCAGTGTCAACAGTGCACCCACCAGTGTCAGCAGTGCACTTGGCGGTGAGGTTGTTGGCATCACCCAGGTATGCTGCCGTGCCCCCCGGCCTCTTGCCTTCAGACGCCTGGCTCACTGCCTTGAGCAGGTATCGTGCTACCTGCCATGGCACACACACGGGGACAGGTGGGAGGTGTGGAAAAAGCAGGGAAACAGGGGGGAGGTGGGTGTACAGTTGAAAAAAGCCTACAGAAAGCGGGAACAACCCGGCTTCTTGCCCTCAGACGCCTGGCTCACTGGCTCAGAGCAGGTATTGCGCTACCTGCTCAAGGCAGGGAGATGCCATGGCACACACACACGGACAGGTTGGAGATGCGGGAAGTACAGATAACATGAGGAATGTGTGCGGTTGTGGCCAAATAAATCGAAGCTCGATGGGAGAGGGTGCAAAACCGAGCTCAATCTAGTGCTGGCAGTGAACAGAACAGAAACCACATTTTCCCGTCATCCCAGGCTCACCTGCAGCAGCAGCAGCAACAGCAGCAGCAGCAGCAGCAGCGCGGTGTTGTCCCCCTCGTACGTGCACGTGGGCACAAAGGCAGGAGATTTACACCGCATCTCAATCCAGCCCAACCAGCAGCACAGTGACAGCTGAGCAATATTTACTCTCCCTTCCAGCTCACCTGCAGCAGCAGCACCGTGTTATCCCCCTCGTATGTGCACGTGGGTACAAAGGCAGTATAGAGCTGAGGCAGGGCAGTGCTGGCTGTGAACAGAACAGAACCCACACTTCCCCACCTCCACATTTAAGGCTCACCTGCAGCAGCAGCACGGTGTTATCCCCCTCGTACGTGCACGTGGGCACAAAGGCAGCATAAAGCTGAGGCAGGGCGGAGTAGAGCGAGTACCCGTGTCCCCCGCACAGCTTGCGGCACTCCTCTATGCCCTCCTGCCATGCCGCAGGGGTATAAGGGGGGAGATAAGGGCGCGTGGCACACGTTAATCAAAGGTACAAATGGCACCCCCTCCCCGCACAGCTTACGGCACTCCTCTATGCCCTCCTGCCATGCCGCATGCGCGGACGAGGGAGGGGGAGATAAGAGGGATAATGGGGTTAAGGGGATGATTGGCATGTGATTCCAGGCACCCCAAAGCCCACGTGACCCTGGAGCAGTGGGTGTAACCGGGGAAGAGTGAGCACCCGTGCCCCCCACACAGCTCCTGCGACACTCCTCGATGCCCTCCTGCATGGGCGAACAGGGGGATGTGGGGTGGTTAAGCGGAGGGGGGGGAGGTGGGAGGAAGGAAAAGAAGTTGGCTGGCGCTGGTTTCAAGGCACACGACTATTCCAACACCGACACCTCATACCCTTCGCAACCCTTGCCTATTCGTGTGCCTTGGAACCAGCGCTGGTGTCTTGCACCTCATGCGCTGGTATGAGGTGTCCAACACCCACACCTCATACCCTTCCCAAAACTTGCCTACATCCACCATGCTTCCCCGTGTGTCCCCTGCACTGTACTTCTCCCACCATCACACCAAACATCATACCCATCCTTCCACTCTTTCCCAACACCCATTTCTCTGCATTTCTCCTTTCCCCATCTCCCCGCTCCCTCCCCCCCCCGTCTCTCTCACCGCAGTGGCAGCAATGGTGAGCGCCTTGAGCCCAGCCATGGCGGCATGCACTTCTGGCAGAGTGGAGTAGTCGCCCCTCTTGATGCGCGCCACCACATCGTTGAACAGCTCCGCCATCCACTTGCTCCCGCCCATCCACCCCCCTCCCTACCTTACCCCTGCTCACCCACCCCACACCCATCCTCCTTCCTCTCTTCTCCCTCCTCCCCACACGGGCCCCCCTGCGACTTCCATCTTCCTGCCCTCTCCCCTCCTCCTCCCCTCCCCATTCCCCCCTTCCTACTCACCGCGGTGGCAGCGGTGGTGAGCGCTTTGAGCCCAGCAGTGGCGGCGTGCACTTCAGGGAGGGTGGAGTAGTCGCCCCTCTTGATGCGCGCCACCACATCGTTGTACAGCTCCGCCATCCACTTGCCCGCGAACAGGAACGCGTACGCGGACGCGATCAAAGGGAGAAGACGCATCTGCTGCGTCTGATAATCCATCACCTGAAGGCGTGTGGGGAAGGGTGGGGGGTAATGGTGGAGAGGCAGAGGGAAGGAGTGAAGTGGTGAAAGGAGGAGGGAGGGGAGGGGGGTAGTGGTAGAGAGGTGGAGGGAGGGGTGGGGGCAGTAAAGAACTAGAGGGTGGTAAGGGGTTCGGGCGTAATGAGCGAGTGAGATGCGGTCCACCACATCGCTGTATAGCTCCCCCATCCCCCCCCCCCCCCTACTCCTTCCCCCCGTCCCTCCCTTCCCTTCCCATCCTCCATACCTTGCTCTCCGCCCCCCCTTCGCTTGATCCAAACTGGCGGCGCACGCACGAGTAGCGAGCGGCGATGGTGACGGCGCGGCCGAGGGCGATCCCCGACTCCATCACGATGCTGCGCCGCACAAACACCATCGCACCGTACGCCAGCTGCCTCGCCGCTGCGCTGCCGCGGTGGTACTCGCCCGACCGGTCCACACCAGCGTACCTGGTGATGATGAAGTGGGACAATGGGGCAACGGGGCAACGGGGAAACGAGGCAATGAAGCAATGGGGCAATGAGGCAATGACTTTTGAGGCGCCTCAATCAAACACTATTGCGCCGTACGCCAGCTGCAGAGCCGCTGTGCTGCCGCGGTGGTAGTTGCCCGACCAGTCAACGCTGGCGTGTCTGGCAATGTGACGTGATGTGATGTGATGTGATGTGGTGTGATGTGATGTGATGTGATGTGATGTGGTGTGATGTGATGTGATGTGATGTGATGTGATGTGATGTGATGTGATGTGATGTGATGTGATGTGATGTGATGTGATGTGATGTGATGTGATGTGATGTGATGTGATGTGATGTGATGTGATGTGATGTGATGTGATGTGGGATCGTGCGGCAATGTAGCTATGCAGCCATGTGTGGTGGTGGCGAGGGGTTGGACACGAAATGCAGAGAGAAAACACGAGGGTAAGGAGGGGAACAAAGAGGAATGGAGGGGGAAAGGAGAGGTAAAATAGGATGGTAAATTAGGAGAAAGAACACTTGTGGAGTAAGAGAACCAATACCTGCGCACACGCATGCACGCTCACATGAACGGAGAAGGTGCATACATGGATTGGGCGGGTGAACGCACTGACCGCATAAGCATGCTGACGCGCGGCTTTGGAAACAACAAAAAGGCATGAATGCATTACGAAAATGAGTGAGCGAGTGAGTGCGTGAGAGAGAGTGAGTGAGAGAGAGCACGTGCACTGACCGCATGAGCATGTTGGTGCGCGGGATGCGCACGTGAGAGAAGGCAAGGAATCCGTTGTCCATGGTGTTGTACCCCATGTTGCCGAACTTGGGCCCTATGTCCCCCACTGTCACCCCTGGAAGCGGCTTGTGATCGCTCAGACTGCGAATGGGCACCAGAAAGGCTGCGGGTGAGGGGAAGCAGGGTGGCGAGGTGGAGAGGGGAGGGGAGGGGAGGGAAGGGGAGGGGAGGGGAGGGGAGGGGAGGGGATGGGAGGGGAGGGGAGGGGATGGGAGGGGAGGGGAGGGGAGGGGAGGGGATGGGAGGGGAGGGGAGGGGATGGGAGGGGAGGGGAGGGGATGGGAGGGGAGGGGATGGGAGGGGAGGGGAGGGGATGGGAGGGGTGGGGAGGGGATGGGAGGGGAGGGGAGGGGATGGGAGGGGAGGGGAGGGAGGTGGAAAAACGTGAGGGGAGGTTAGGAGGTCATTCCACCACTCGCCTCAACAGTTTCATCTCTCTCTCAACCCACACACCCCCCTGCCTCACCACACACGCCCTGCTCTCACAACGCACGTCCCCGTCTCATCACAACAGCTCCCTGCACTCACCAAACAAACGCCCCTCGTGCCACCCCTCTCTCCCACACCCAACCTCCCCCTCGCACCACAAACCAAACCCCCTCTTCTCCGCCCCCCCTCCCCCTTGCACCATACGTGCCCTTCACCTCCCCCCCCTTTTCCTCGCACCATGCACGCCGTGGTCCTTGCCCTTGCTGATAAGCCTCGCATACACCACCGCATGTTTGGATTAGACGCCTTGCAGGCAGCTTTTAAAGAATAATCTCTCACGATGGCTGCAGATGGTTGGACGCCTTGCCCGACTCTCTCACAACGCGCGGCCACCCTCCCCCCCCCCCCCCCCCCCCCACCCTCTCCCCCGCCCCCTCTCCCTTGTTCATACCGTGCACGCCGTGGTCCTTGCCCTTGCTGATAAGCCTCGCATAAACCACCGCGTGGTTGGACGCCTTTCCCAGCCCTCCCGGCCACCACTGCAGCACGCACGCGAGGGGGGGAGAAGGGCGAGCGGACACGAGAGGGAGAGCAATCAGGAAAGAGGGAGAGGTGTGGCGGAGGGCGCGCAGCAAGAGGCTAAAGAGAAAGACGCGTATACCAGTGGAAGGAAGAAGATACCAGCGGAACAGGTGCGGCTGTGCAAACGAGCACTGAGGCAACAAGGAACGGCTGGGCACAGCGCGGCACAGCACAGCACCACACACCGCGCCGCAGCGCACCGCACAGCACAGCACAGCACAGCACAGCACAGCACAGCACAGCACGGCACAGCACCTTGGTGGCAGTGATGGTGGGCGTGTGCACGTCCCACTCATCCGTTTCCGGCACATAAGTGGCCGTGGTCTCAAGCCCCTGAACGTTGCTCCCGTGCCCCAGCTCCGTCTGCGCACCCACCAACACAACACGGCACCAACACAACACGGCACCGCACTGCACCGTACTGTACCTTAGTAGCAGTGATGGTGGGCGTGTGCACGTCCCACTCATCCGTTTCCGGCACATAAGTGGCCGTGGTCTCAAGCCCCTGCACGTTGCTCCCGTGCCCCAGCTCCGTCTGCGCATAGCACCCAATCCACTCAAACGCCCGCGCCTTGGGCAGCCACTCGCGCCCCTGCTCATCCGTGCCCTGCCCCTCTATAGCGGGGATGAACATGTACTGCCAGTCAAGGGACGCCGGGGGGGAGAGGAAAACCAGTGCGGGAAGACCAGTGCGGGGGAGGGAGAGGAAAACGGTGTGAGGGTGGAATGAGTGAGGGAGGATGGGGGAGTTGGAGTAAGGGGGAGGGGAAGGGGGGGTGGGTTGGGGGTGAGGAGGTGGGGGAGGAAGAGCACGGATGATAGAGCGAGAGGATGAAAGGCGCTCTGCAGCCACGGTGGTTCGGTGGGTTTGTTGAGTCCGGAGCATGTTGGAACAAGGGCGAGCGAAGCTTGGTTTAGTATTCCGGAAAAATCAGGGGGGGGAGGAGAGAGAGTGGGAGGGGGTGAGGGGATGCAGTTGCGGTTGAAGCGAGACGAGGACGAGGGCAGGGGAGAGTGGAGGAAGAAGGGAGGGTTACCGAGTGCAGGTCAGAGAAGTTGATCCCGTCGACCATAAGCTTGTAGAGGGAATAACTAATGAGGCTCGACTCTCCCGTGCCGTGCTCTCTCCTCACAAAGAGAGCACGGCACGGGAGAGTCGAGGGAAGAAGGGAGGGTTACCGAGTGCAGGTCAGAGAAGTTGATATCATCGACCATTTGCTTGAACAGGTAGCGCTCCTCCTCTGCACACACACACACACACGCACGCACGCACACACACACACACACACACACACACACACACACACACACACACACACACACACACACATCAAAGTCACAAACCAAGACACAAACATGACTACTTATCAAACCTGCACGCTATAAGAAACGGACAACCAGTCAGTGCTCATGCCAAAACGATTCAGGACAAGATAGTAAAGGACAAGATACAACATGACAAGCTAGGTACAGGACAATATAGGCGCCCCAGGAGCTTTGAGGCAAACACACGTGCTCCATGGCACGGTGCGTTGTGGATGCATCTCGAACATCTCGACAGCCAGCAGACGAAGAGCCACAAGAGCCACAAGAGCCACAAGAACCACACGAACCACAACAAGCGATGGGAAAAGGGGTGAATCGAGCACGCACGCACGCACCGTTGAGCTGGAGCTCGAGTTTCTTGACCTTGACGCGCTTGCTCATGTGCGCGCCGTCTTCTTCTGCAGAGCGCATTTGAGAATACGCAAGACCGATCAACGAGCACATGAAAGCACCCACCGTTGAGCTGGAGCTCCTTGACGCGCTTGATCATGTGCGCCGCCTTCTGCAGCGACAGTTTCATCGCCTGCGGCCGCGTCAGGTGCGAGCCGTCCGTGCGGGAAAACACCTGCGCGCCGAGCCCAGAGCCCCGAGCCCCGTGCACGCACGCCCGAGCAACGAGGAGAGGGGTGTGGGGAGAGGGGGATGTGGGGGAAGGGGTGGGGTGGGGTGGAGGGGGGAAGGTGTCGGGGACAGGCAGGCGAAGCATGGTGGAGCAACGATGGGGGGAATGGCGAGCGCGAGCCGGGAGAGCTGGAGAGGAAAGCAGTGGGCTACCATGGCACCCATGGAATAAAGCCGTGCGAGGAAACTACCCGCATTCGCTGCTCTGCTCTAATCTCCCTCTTGATCAAGATATTGCCACAATCAGCCTCCCCAATCAGTTCCCCACCCTGAATCTTCCCCCTTCACCTCCCCCCAAACACCCAACTGACCGGGTCCTGCGCGACGAGCCGCGCCATGCGCTTAAGGCGATCCACGCGATCCTGGCCGTTCCACACCACGGCGCTCATCTCGCTCACGTCGAACGCTGCTCGATCGCCGGTGTAAACGGCGGGAGGGAGAGAAGCGTGGGGTGAGGATAAAGGGGAGAGTGAGTTTGTCATGAGGGGTGAGAGAGTGGATGGCGGGAACGACAACAGGAATGAAGCGCGGGGATTGGGTGCAGGGATCATATCCGGGATCGCGTGAACCGGACATGGTCTATGAAAAGAGAGGCAGAAATGTAGGCAGGAGATGCTCCGTGAGTGCCGAAGTGCAGTCCCGATCACGGCCATGCGAATCTGTAACAGAACGCATGTCGGTGCTGTTTCCAGGCTAAGGAGATCGACATGTTTCGCGGACCGGAAAAAAACTTTCACGTATAACACGCCACCGATGCATTACGGAGCGATGGAGGGAGGCACAGTCGGGTTTTTTATCTGATCAGGGGTAAGGGCGGAAGTTGTGACAGGTGTCTAATTCTTACTTGCATTCGCGCGCTCATCAGCCAGGTGATCCATGATGCTCGGAAAAAAGCTGTGTAACAGACTCCCGTTGCCTGATAGGGAGGGCCCTGACAGGAGCTAGCGGTCGAAGTAACCAGTGACCACGTTACTAGCGAATACCAGGAACGACGAGCCGACGGAAAAGCCCTGCCAGAGAAGTCGGTGTGAGAAGCTTGTGGCTGCTCACTGTTTTGGCTCCCAGAATCCAGATTCAGCAGAAGAGGAAGGGGAATCCCATTCCCAAGGTTTTGCACTACACAGTAGCACAGTAAGGTGGACCCTTCAAGACTACTCATGGGTGAGTAAAAAGGGTAATAATCAAACCGCTGTGAGTAATTTTCCAAAACATTCGAACGCTGTGGGCGTATAACCAAACCGCATAGATCAAATTTTCCCAAAAATCTAATGCACTTGGAATATTTTTTTCCAAAAAATATACAAATCCATAGGGAGTTAAGACCTCAAGGAGCACTTACCTCGAGAATCGTGACCCGGCACCAACCCAACAACGGATGCTTGGATGGTGCCGGGTCCAGATTCCAGACGAACAGGAGCAATCACCTCAAGAATGATGACCCGGCAAGCATCCAAGAATGGATGGTTGGATGGTTGCTGGGTCCAGATTTCAGACGAACAAGAGCAATTCACCTCCAAAATGATGACCCGGCAAGCACCTAACAATGGACGGCTGGATGGTTGCCGGGCCCAGATTTCAGACGAGCATTGTGGTGATCGGAGACGCCGCGACATGTGGGAACATACAATGCTGGAACGTGTGTTGCACTAGATGGACATTCCTGGCCAATCTTAGACGTTGCCTCTCAAGCATGTTGCAATTGTGATTGGATCTCACGGTGGAGTCGCACAAGAACTTGTGGTCCACTGGTGGTGGTGATGTGACGAGTGCTGTGGCGACCAGCACAGCAGCACAACGACGGGAAACTTGCGGCGAAATGGTTGTCGAAATTGTCAGTGCACCAGTCAGAAGCTACTGAACTCTTTTGCACAATCGAATCCAATACAAGCAAATGCGCGAGACCCTTTGGCTGTGTAATTGCGGAGACTAAAGGTGAAAAGCCAATCATGAAATACCTGCATACGGTAAGGACGCGACACCTCAAGCAATTTTGCACGATCGATCGCAGGATCGCTGATTCGACCATACTGAAATCCTGAAAGCCTTTAAAGCTTTTAAAACCGTTTAAAACTCCTAAAACATTCGATCCTGCGCAGGATCGATCGCATGATCGGTGCTGTAGATGCCGCGTCCTAAGCTACAAGGCTATGACATCGAACGGTTGATTCCCAACTCACTTCATAACGTATTTGATATAATGAATAGTAATCTGCAGCAGCAACACAAGCTTCAACGTTGGTGAGCATGGGGACAACACCTTAAAGTGTTGATGAAATCTTGAATGCACAACAACGATTGCCTACTTCTTGTTACGGTAGCCATGTCAAAATGAGGAATGAATGGTTCCATTGATGTTGGTTGGGGTACATATAACAAACCCTAACTTCTGTACCCCCTAAGACAAACCTCACTACAGGCTACAACATTTGACACACCCCCATAGCCTAAGTGAGGGGTGTCTAGCAAAATCAAAAAGAGTACGGTCACAAGACCAGTCCAAAAGAAAACAAAGCTCAGGGTGGATCACAACGTCACCACACACTCTGAGCACAAGCAACAGTGGCCACAAGGCCAGTCCAAGAGATCACAAGTATATATAGCAAGTGTACAGACGAAGCAGGCAATAAACTCAAGTCTACACATGACTAGAAACTGAGTCAACAAGGCCTAACTGCACACAACACCTCTGGTGGTCACAAGGCGGAAGCGCCTTGGTGAAGATGTCTGCAGTGTTGGCCTCGGACTCCACGAACTCGAAGCGAGCCTGTCCACGTCTCTGCAACTCTCGCAGAAGAAAGTACCTGACGTGAATGTGCTTCACTCTGCTCTCCAGTCGCGGCTCACGACAGAGGAGGATCGACGCCTTGTTGTCAGTAAACAAGGTCGGTGCAGAGCTCGGCCGCTCACCAAGGTCGGCGAGCAAGAAGGTCAACCACCGCAACTCCTGTGCCGCCATGGCACCAGCGTAAATCTCAGCCTCAGCTGTAGAGGTCGAGACAGAAGAGGAGCGCGTGGAACGCCAGGAAACAGCTCTAGAACCCAGACTGAAACAGTACCCCTGAGTAGACCTGTGAGTCTCAGCGTCGTCAACGTAAGAGGAGTCACAGTGACCAGTGAGTACGACAGACTGCTGCCCTCCAAGAACTAGCCCCACGCCTGATGTAGTCGCTAGGTACTTCGCCACCCTCACAGCTGCCGTCCAGTGAACAGGACGGTGTCTCCCTGGCGCAACAAAGCGCGCAAGGATGCTGAGAGGGAAGGCGAGGTCCGGGCGAGTACAAGTCATCAGGTACATGAGGCAACCCACAAGCTCTGCGTAGGGACCACTAGGCTCAAACGGCTCGTCAGGAAAGGGACCAGTGAGTCTGTGGTCAACAGCGAGAGGTGTGCGCTGTACGGTGGAGTGCTGAAGCCCGAACCGCTGAAGGACCTGCTGCACCATGTGTGACTGTGAGAGTGTAATGGTGCGAGCGGCTCTGTCCCTGGTGATCTGCAGGCCAAGGTAGTGGCGCAGCTCACCAAGATCAGTGCAAGTGTGTCTCTTCTGCAGTTCGGACTTCACGTCTGCCAAAGCAACCATGTCCGGAGTGGCGAAAACGAGGTCGTCGACGTAGACCAGGACAAAGAACGGTGTGGAGCCACGACGAACGAACAGCGACGGGTCGGCAGAAGACGGCTGGAACCCAAGGTCAGAGAGGGTAGAACGCAGAGTGTCGTGCCACTCACGAGGGGCCTGGCGAAGACCGTAAACAGGTCGCCTCAGCCTCCACTGGGTCCCAGGAGGGAAAATGCCAGTGAGTGCCGAGGGACGACGTAACCAGACCTCCTCGTGTAGGCTGCCCTGAAGGAAAGCAGTGGAGAAGTCGAGAGAGTGTAACTCGTAGTCTCTCTGTGCTGCTACGTGTAGTAACACCCGAAGAGTGGTCATCTTCGGGGTAGGTGCGAAGGTCTGAAAGAAGTCAACTCCCTCGCGCTGACTGAAACCTCTAGCCACGTAGCGCGCCTTGAAGACCGGGGGAGATCCCGGTGGCCGCTTCACCCTGTAGATCCACATGCCGTCGACTACGTTCGCCCCAGGGGGGGGAACCTCATCGACGTAGGTGCCTGTGGATCTGTAGGAGGCCATCTCTGCGTCCATGGCAGCTCTCCACTGAGAGGCCCAAGGCCCTGACACTGCCTCAGCGTAAGTGCGAGGAGTCGGAATGTCAAGGGCGTCGGGGTCACCCTCAGGGGCGAGGAGCATGGCACAGAGATGAGGGGAAGCGGCCGCCAGGAACTCTAGCTCAAACTGCCTGTCCTCTAGGGCGTCACAGCCAAGGGCAGACACACCCCCGACGGCCAGAGGACTGGTAGGAGGAGCAGCCACAAGCGTGGTGGCGTAGTCAAGGCGACGCGTAGAGGCAAAGTCAGTAACTGCGGCAGTAAGAGCGGACACAGAGGACACAGAGGCACGAGGGTGAGTAACAAGAGAGGCGAGAACACGAGAGAGAACAGGACGGTACGTGCGGTAGTAGTCAGTGACGGGAGCAGGGAGCGACACGGTGAGGGCCGACTCAGGAGGAGACGGAAGCACAGACTGAGACGGACGAGGTGGACTAGAACAAAGTAAGGCAGTACGAAGGTCAGTGAAGGGAACAGGAGACGAGGGACGAGCACGAGGGGAGCGACGAGTAGCCCAAGAACGAGACGGAGGAGGAGAGGACAAAGGCGGAGAACTGGAGAAAACAGCGGGGGAGGAGTCAGGCGGAGGAAACGTGGGACCGTAGACAGGAGGAGAGGCGGAGGAGGGAGGAGAAGGGGAGGGAAGACCAAGGGCCCGAAGACCCGAGACAGGAGGAGGAAGTGGCTGCTGCTGCTGCTGCTGCTGCGACTGCTGCTGCTGCGGACGCGGCTGCTGCTGGGACTGCTGCTCCTGCGGGTCCAGCTGCTGCTGCTGCTGCTGCTGCTCCTGCGGCTCCAGCTGCTGCTGCTGCTCCTCCAGCCGCTGTAACTCCCTCTCCTCTCTCTCCAACGCCAGCTGCTCGTCACGGGCACGGCGAACACGAGCCTAGGGTAGGGCGACGGGCGAGGGCCTAGGGTAGGGCGACTGGCCAGGGCTTAGGGTAGGGCGACGGGCCAGGGCTTAGGGAGGGCGACGGGCCAGGGCCTAGGGTAGGGCGACGGGCCAGGGCCTAGGGTAGGGCGACGGGCCAGGGCCTAGGGTAGGGCGACGGGCCAGGGCGTAGGGCAGGGCGACGCGACGGGGGAAAGGGCGGGAGCGACGCGACGGGGCAGGGCGACGCGACGACACAGGGCGACGCGACGGGGCAGGGCGGCGCGACGGGGCAGGGCGACGGGACGGGGCAGGGCGACGCGACGGGGTAGGGTGACGCGACGGGATAGGGCGACGGGACGGGGGGGGAACAGGCGGGCACAACGCGACGGGGGGAACGGGCGCGACGCGACGGGGGGGAAAGGGCGTGACGCGACGGGGGGAAAGGGCGCGACGCGACGGGGGGGAGGGGAAAGGGCGTGAGGCGACGGGGAGAAAGGGCGCTAAGCGACGGGGGAAAGGGCGCTAGGCTCGGTACTAGGCGCGGTAACAACGGAACTGGTACGAACGAGAGGTAGGATCAGGCTCGGGAGGTACGAACGGAGAACGGAGGAACGGGATCCCACAGGATCCTAACCTAGCTGATACCATGTCAAAATGAGGAATGAATGGTTCCATTGATGTTGGTTGGGGTACATATAACAAACCCTAACTTCTGTACCCCCTAAGACAAACCTCACTACAGGCTACAACATTTGACAAGCCAGTATTACGACCCTAGTCAGAGGTCCACTGGAGATCCCCGATTGATCATAGAGAGGGGTTACAGGCACGTTGGTATGGGGG